CTCCGGTAAAGATTACAGCCTAAAAACCCTGCGGGGCAGTTCTACTCTGTCCCATTGGGTTACTATGAATTGGAATCTATGACTAGATGGCACACAACAACAACCACATTGTCTTTCTTACCAATCAAATTGTAAGCTCAATGAGGTCAAGAATGTTACCTGTTTTGGTTGAGAAGGGACAGTGTTGTCATGTCATGGGGTTGTTAACCATTGTCATAAAACAATATGTGTATTAATTGTTTAATGAGAAACTATTTATTCTGTAAACCTTCATCTAAAGTAAATTAAAAAAAAAAAATGTTACCTGTTTCATTTACTGTTATATTCTCAACACCAATCACTACACATAGTACACAGTATATTAATGCATTTTCATTTGAAGAAATGACAAAAAATGTTAACCATTTATTATCTATTATCTAATTAATCTTTTTAAAATCTATTATTTAGTCTATACAATAGATATATAAAGTAGGTTCAATAGTATCTTTTACAACTAAAAGTCTTAGACTCACAAGATTATTAAGAACAAAAGAGATGGGTTTTGAACCTAAGTCTATTTACAATGCTTTTGTTTTATTCATGGCATTATTGAAGAGATATGATTTCTGTTCTGAAGTTAGGAGTGTTACAAACTAATAGCACCCTGGGTTTTAGAATACTGAAATCATATAATACTAAACATGAATAAAGATTTATGTATCAATTTATCTGCCCCCTGTATGAATAAGGATAGGCTAGGTTATGCTGCAGTAACGAAGAAGCCCCAAATCTCAGGGGCCTAAAGGAACAAAGGATTCTTTCATTCTTAAACTACACAATCACTGTGGGGTGGCTGGCTGTCCACAGTCCAGGAATCAGCCTGATGGAGCAGCCACTTCTTGGAATCTTGCCAGTCCCCATGGATGAGGGAAAGAGTACTACAGCAAATCACTCATCAGTTCTTAACACTTCCCTCAGAAATGACATCAATTTCATTTTTTGGTCAAAGAGTGTAGGGCAGTGTAACGTTCCCATGTTCCTAAATGGAGAATCAAAAATATTCAGTAAATAGCACAAATGACAAACTCACCCTTACGTTTTACAGATGAAGAAATTGGCATGTAGAGAGATATGTCACTTGTAATGTCATGAAGCTGATTTATGTCATAGCCAACACTAAAACTGAATCTTGTATTCACTGTCCAGTGCTTTGTCCAATAGCAAACCAGGAATTGCTAGTTCCTTACTCCAAATAAAATACACTTAAATATCTTATTATAAATATTTATTTAAGTAATATAAACTCCTTATATTGAAATGCAAGGAGCCCTGTTGGTGGAACGTTTAAGCGCTTGGCTGCTAACCAGAAGATCGGTGGTTCAAACCCACCAGCCACTCCATAGGAGAAAAGACCTGGCGATCTGCTCCCGTAAAGATTACAGCCTAGGCAACTCTATGGGGGCAGTTCTCCTCCGTCCTATGAGTCAGAATCAATTCGACGGCACCTAACAACCACAATACATTGAAATACTTTTGTACCTCTGCCGTAAAATATAAAGCATAGACAGATTATAGGCCTTGTTCCTCCAGTCACATGCTTTAGCAAGATACCCCATACCAAAACACTGAAAACCTCTCTAATCTGGTTGTTCTCACTTCCAGCAAAACGAAACCATGTTTTATGTTAGTCTTTCTAAACCCATGGGCTTAAGAAGTATCAAGGAGATAAACAAGAGAACTGTGAATCCATACGTGTATCAAGAACTCTCTGTTGAATCCATTAGAAGTGTATTCACAACAAGAATTCCAACTAACAATGATTTAAGGAAAGGATGTCTATGCTACCCTCATAACAAGAAATCTGAAGTGGATGGCTGCTGGTGTTGGTTCAGTGGCTCAATAGCATCAGAGCCTATGTGGCTGTCTGGGTCTTTTCTTACGGACAGAAGACGCATATGACAACTTCATACCTGCCATCCAGACTGGACAAAGGGGAAAGGGTGAGGCCAGCTGGATTATCCCTTTTATTAGGGAAGAAAAAGCTTTCTCAGAATCAACACCGGGCCCCATTCCAGCAGGCTATCACTGAGGTCTCATTGGCCAGGATTTAGTCTCATGGACACCCCTAGCAGCAAGAAAGGCTTGAAAAGTAGCAAAAAGAATTGTCATTGATTGGCTAAGCCTAATACTACCTTGAGCAAATAAGGGTTCTGCTGGCAAAAAATGGCTTAAGGATGGAGGGTAGTAGGAATGAATATTGAGTAAGCAACTAACAGTGTCTGCCCCATTTGTTGATTGACTAAAAGGTCATTTTGAAATAATTTATCTACTATTTTTAAAGTTGACATAGAAACTATTGTGAATAGTTTATTCATTATTATGAATAAATAAAATATATATTTACTACTGAACTATTAATGTATCTTCTCAATAGATGAAATTTAAAAATATAATAAAGCTACTATAGTCAGTCCTGCTATAATGCTGGTTTTAAAAACAAATTGATTTCAACAAGATTGATATGTTAAGGAACAATTTGAGCACAACACAAATTTGTGTTTGCTTAAGTGCAATTTCGTCCACTAGAAGCTAGGTGGTTGCAGAAGGCTGCAACAGGTGGCCTGAGCCACGTAGAAATACACAAAACTCACAAGCACACACCCCGCGGACTTTGCTAGCTACTTCAGTTCACTGCCTGTTTTATGATCCGCACCCATCTACGTTTAGTGTTATAAACATCTCTCTGATATCAGACAACTCTCCCCCCACCACTTCACGATAACTCACTAGCTGAAACTCTTCAGAAACCTATTTCCACAAACTTCAAATCTTTTTCAAGATAAAATGCCATATGTATTGTAACATTTATGTATTTCTTAACCACTTATCATGTGTCAAACTGTACTACCATTTTTATTAGGTCTCTATCTTTCTCTATGGGTCACTATTGAAGGTTTTGAGTATTGTGTCCCTAAATCAAGGAGCACTGGTTTGCTCAGTGGCTAAAGCACTTGGCTGCTAACCGAGAGGTCGGCAGTTCAAAACTACCCGTCACTCCGAAGGAGAAAGATGTAGCAGTCTGCTTCCATGAAGATTACAGCCTTGGAAACCCTATGGGGCAGTTCTACTCTACAGAGTTGCTATGAGTTGGAATCGACTCCACAGCAGTGGGTTATGTAGATATAGGGAGCCTGGTAGTGCAACAAACGGTTAAGTACTTGGCTGCTAAATGAAAGGTTGGCAGTTCAAACCCACCCACTGAATCCATGGGACCAAGACTTGGTGATCTGCTCCCATAAAGATTATAACCAAGAAAACCCTACTCTGTCACATGAGGTCACTATGAGTTGGAATTGATATGACAGCACACAACAACAAATATATATATATATATATATACATATATATATATAAAACCAGTTGCCATTGAATTGACTCCAACTCATGGTGACCCCATGTGTGTCAGAATAGAATTGTGCTCCATAGTGTTTTCAGTGGGTGATTTTTTGGAAGTAGATAGCCAGGTCTATGGGTGGACTTGAGCCTCCAACATTTTGGTTAGCAGAGGAGCGAGTTAACTACCCAGGGAGAGAGCTATAGCTAAATATAGATATAGATAATATTAGAATACAATTGAGACATTTTTAAAACGAATAGAAAAAGCTCATTTTACATTTTAGAGGTGAATATGCCTTCAAAAGTATTTATTAAATGTGCTTGGAGGATCTTATTTTTAAAATGTCTATCAATTTTACTAAATAAAAGCCAGCCTATATATAGCTGTCTCTATAGCGGGTGAAGATTTGTCATTTACCTTTTATGATAATAATGCAAATTATATTCAGCCCAAGTATACTGAGTAGGAATACAGTTTTTATCTCTTTTTCCTCGTTCATCAACCTTGTCTAACAAGAGTTAACCAAGATTCAGAATGGGTCGTACAAAGCCGAATTTTGGCAGTCCCTTTACAATAGAAGGAAACCCTGGGGGTGTAGTGGTTAAGTGCTACCACCGCTAACCAAAGGGCCGGCAGTTCAAATTCACCAGATGCTCCTTGGAAACTCAATGGGGCACTTCTTCTCAGTCCTATAGGGTTGCTATGAGTTGGAATCGAGTCGATGGCAACGGGTTTGGTTTTTTTGTTTTTCACAATAGAAGAGAATCTATTTTCCTCCTTAGGGTCTCTATTTTCTTTAATAAGGGCATACAAAACACTCAGCACATTTCCAGAGCTTCTGAGAATTTCTCCCTTGAGAGATCTCAGTAAATACAAGGAAAAACAACTTCAAAAAAAATATTAATGAAAGGCTCATCAGTATTTGCTTTCTCCCTCCCCACTCCTGCCTTCTATTCTTTCTACTGTCTACGTATCTCTTCTCAGCTTCAAACATTTTTCTTCCTCTAATTTTCCCAAGGTCAGCTGCCTTTTCTAACGGCCTAATTCCAGCGAGCACAGCACGTGGAGAAGGAGAAACTAAAAGACCTCACAGGCACTCTCCTTTACTTCTTATATCTGCTGCCAGACCACTCTCAACTGTGAATCCGTGATTTTCTCAGGAATGCGGATCAGGGTTTGGCAAGTAATGTTTTTAGTAAATAATCTCTGAATGTTTGGTACTTAAAGGTGGAAGGAAGTATTGCTTTTAAGTGCACACAGTGATCATTAAAAATGATTCTGTACTCACTCTTAGATTCAAATGCAAATTCTCATAGCCCCACACCAAATTCGTGGGCCACACATGAGTGACTCCAGCTAAAAGCCACACAACAAGCCCAAGTCCGCCTTGCAGGCAGCAGAGCACACAGCGGTGTCTTGAGTGCAACTGTACACACCCATTAAACCCATAAACTGCAGGTTACACTGATGTGTACTTCCCTTCCTCTTACCTCACCTCGTTTGCTTTCTTTTTCTCCCAACCCCCAGCCTGCACCCACACAATGGGATTTTTGTTTGCTTCATAGCATGTGATAGCACAGTCCCTGCTTTGCCTAGCTCTGTGCTGCAGGTCTCTCAGGTAACAGGTGGCAGCTTCCCCTGTTGGATTCTAGGTATAAAAAAGAGTGACCTCATAGGGGTGGAGCTCTAGGACTCCATAGAGGTGGCAGTCACAGCCAGGCAACCCCAGAGTGAAGCTGTTTAACCTTCACCCTGAGGCAATTCAGCAACCAGCCATTGCCTGGAAGCCTCTAAAGCTTATCTTTACCTCAGATGGAGCCCAAAGAAGCCACTGGGAAAGAAAACAGGGGCTCCAAGAGAAAGAATCTGACCTTCTTGAGGCCCAGACTCTATATGCTGGAGAGAAGGAAGACTGACACTGTGGTTGAGAACAGTGTGTCTGGGGACCACTCTGGCACCTTGAGGAGGAGCCAGTCTGACAGGACGGAATACAACCAGAAATTACAAGGTAACCAAAGAGCAATCAATTGTCCCAGGTTACTGCACTCCCAGCTCTGTTTCTGCTACTCTTCTACTTGTGAAGAAAACACTTAAGGCAGAGAAGAAAATAGAGTTCTACCTCTCTCTCCCATAAAATAAGAAAATGAGAGTAAATGTGATTCATAAATTACAGGAAAAACATTTTTATTATGTGATTAAATAATTAAAGGGACAATTCTGAATTAATATTGCTGCTTTTCTTCTGGTGAGACTGATATATATATGTGTATATATATGTATATGTATATACACCTTTTCTGCTAGCTTCCTCTTTCCCTCCCCACCCCCAACCAACTTAAGAAGTGGGAAGCATTGGAAGGCAAATGATTTAGAAACCTACAAAAAGATAGTTTATCTCAATAGATAGGTGTGAGATGTCACCCCATGAGATCTAGCTAGGTAATTGTACTGAAATGTGACTGTGGTTAAGTAGGGGCATGAAACTACCACTCAAGTCTGTAAAAAATAGGAAATGTTAGTCAGCAGGATGGCATAACAGAATTTGTTGAAAATCACTTAGATGATCATTCCTTTAGAGTGAATCTAATAACATCCAAATACGGTAAGAGCTGTTTAGCATGCTTAGGTTGAATGACTTTTGAGGAAATAACTTCAGTTTATTTTGGGATGGTCCCAAGGTGATTTGGCACAGTTATTATAACACAGCCTCCATTTCAGGCCCTGAATTTTTATCCCTTCCCATCCACCCTTTTTTTTTTTTATATTTATTTTTTCTGCCGAAGGTCGTTTGTTCCAGTAATACTTCATTTTGATGTTGATATTGTGCCGCGTCTTACGTATCAGCTGCAGTCCTGGTTATATGATCCCCCAGAACCTGTGTCTCCTGCTTTTAGCACAACATGTGTTTGAACTCTCATAAACCCACCTTGAGCTGTCATTCTGGACTCAAAATCCATGATGAGGTTAGAAAGACCAATGGACATGCTTTGGATTAGCAGATCTCTTTCCTCAAAAATATGCTTGGGCTTAGTTGTGCAAATCAATTACGTTAATTAAGCTAAATTCATTAAAATTAAATCTTAAAAAATTATTACTATGAGTTACTGCTTTTAAAAAATCCTGGTAACTCGGCATTAGTCAAGGTGTGTAGGCACGTCTTATTCTTAAAGAATTAAAAGGAAAGGGAGGAGGGGGGAGCGCAAGGGAGTTTCATCTTCGAAATTAATTTTTCTCAAAGCAATGGATGCTTTAGAAAGAATGCAGATTTTAAAGACTTACACACTTGGTTTCCAATCCTGGCTCTTCAAGTTGCTACTTGTAAGACTTTGAGATAATTACTTATAATGTCTGAGCCTCAGTTTCTCTACCTGTGAAAAAGGGATAATGATACTTACCTCACAGTGTTTTTGGGAAAACGAAATTAGATAGTTACATGAAACACCTAATGTGTTGGCTGATACATGATATGTGCCCAATAGGTAGTGGCTATTAATGTGCTTAGGAGTCCCTGGGTGGTACAAACGGTTAATGAGCTTCGTTGCTAACCAAAAGGTTAGAGGTTCAAGTCCACCCAAAGGTGCCTTGAAAGAAAGGCTGGTGATCTAATTCCAAAAGATCAGTCGTTGAAAACCTTATGGAGGACAGTTTTACTCTGCAACACATCACGTCACCATGAGTCAGAATAAGCGCGGACGACAAGTATTTTTGTTGTGGTTATTAATGTGCTTGGTTGCTAACCTGAAGGTTGGAGGTTTGAGTCCACCCAGAGATGCCTTGAAAGAAAAGTCTTGCAATCTACTTCCAAAAAATCAGACACTGAAAACTCTGTGGAGCACAGTCCCACTCTGACACACATGGGGTCGCCATGAGTTTGAGTCACTAGACAACAACTGGTTTGTTGTTTATTCTTAAGAATGATGGTACCATAATGATAGAGCAAGACTTGCCCTCTATTAATCCAAATTATACCTTACTAATCTTTTTCAACTCTTTTCTGTCCATTTGATGCAGAGACCACATATAAAAATTCAGAAAAATGTAAAAACTTTAACTCCTAATAACAGGTTTCTTCCAAGTTTTACTAACTCAATATCTTTTTGGTTCAGATGTTCCAAAAGCAAAATAAAAATATGAAATAATGTTTGCTAACTAGAATTTGAAATATAATAAAACATTAAAAAATTTACAATAAATTTGAAAACAGTTTTGCTCCTCACTTCCTAAATTTACCTGAAAATTAACTCTCTGGCCACCAAATGCAGCAGATGTTTTGGTTACTTTGCAGAACCCCCAAGCTTTTTATATACTTCATTTGATTTTTCTTTCCTGAGTTCTTTGAAAGTGGAGGGAAAGACTCAGGAGCTAACCCCCATGCACCTAGAAGTATCTGTGCTTGAGAAAATCACGAGGGAGTGTAGAGGAGCCCCTCACAGCTATAAAGATAGGTTGCCCTCCTGATAAGTAACATTTTATTTTTAGATTTTTCCTAACTTTTTTTGCCTAACTTTTAATAAAATCCAATTCTGTTATCTAATGTCTTCTAGAGTTTTTAGCAGGATTCTACTGTAACTTTGGCAACAATAGAAGGCATTTTCTCATTAACATTTAAAGCAATCATTTCTGCGGGTTTGCTCTCTGGTGTGCATAATAGCCATTATCATGCAGATGATCTTAAATTACCTTAAGAAGCTCTTTATTATTGAAATGTCAAAAGGTTTTCCTGGGGCTCTCTTGGAGGTGGTCTTCCCCTGGAGGCATCAGTTAAGACCTGGGAAGGGTTGTTGTTGTTGTTAGGTGCCATTGAGTTGGCTCTGACGCTAGGTACAACAGAACAAAACACTGCTGTGTCTGCCCCATTCTCACAATCGTTGTTATGCTTGAGCCCATTGTTGCAGCCACTGTGTCAATCCATCTCGTTGAGCATCTTCCTCTTTTTCCCTGACCCTCGACTTTGCCAAGCATGATGTCCTTCTTCAGGGACTGATCCCTGGGCAGGGTTGAGCTCTCCAATAGATGGCCCTTAGCCCTTAGAGGTTGTAGTGTGCTTTCTTATACTGGAATTTCTGGCAACCCCACGGTCTTCACATATTTAGTGGGTTGTCTTTCAGTATCGTGTTGCTATTTGAGTCAAACAATCCACTGCCCTAACTGTATCTGGAATGAAGTTCTTTCGATTCTGAGAAATATAAAATCTTTGTTGCCCTTGGGCTTGCCTCTGAAGTCACACTTCATAGTCTAACTGTTTAGCTCAATTTCTGACAGACATCACTTTAACAGTGTGACTCTTAAGTTGTATTTAAAAAAATAAAAAGCTACACTGGTGGCGAGCTACTGGGTCAAATCATTAAAACATGGTTCTAATGAGGCCGTCTTAAAGGCTTTCTAGAAGGTTGTGATTACATCAACATAGACACTTCTCCTAAGCCTCAAGTTGTACAGTGTTGTAGGGGAAGAACATCATAAGGTTTAGTAAAGCAAAAAGAAATTTTTATTCAGCATATATTCAAAAAGGCAGAAGTGGAAAACGGATAAGCATGCTGCCAGAGCTAGAATGTCTGCCCGAATCTAAGGAAATATCACAGAACAGACAAAAGTGGGAAAACGGAGAAGCATGCTGCTGCAGCCATGTCTGCTTGAGTCCAAAGACTATTACAGAATCATCAGTATATATTAACATTACAAATGGGCAAAACCATTGAAAGCTTAGCCTTTTCAGATTGGCTAGAAACTGTGATCTTACATTTTGAATTGTCTTTCTTAACAATCATTGGTACAGGTTTCAGTAACGACAGTCGGGAGGGTCTTCATTGGTCCAACAAATTTCTATTCACTAAATGCTAATAGAAAAAGATAAGAGTGGAAAGTCTTTTGTGTTCTGTTTGATTGACTTAATATGAAAGTTTCCCTAAAAGATATTTTAACAGAGTATCTTAGCTATTGTCTTTATACCTCAGGGCCCAGTTGATCTGTCCTTGTGAGTCCCTGTGAGCCCAGCTCCAGCTGGGTCACATTCTCTATGCTCAAGGTCAGAGAATAATGATTCCAAATATTATTTTCTAAATCAACAATAATAGTTGGATGTTAACCTACTCTTTGTGTCTCTTTCATTCCTTCAATAGATTCATTCAGTTAATTGGTATTTATTGAATATGTTACATGCTGTGTCTTGAGGTTATAATAGTGAGAAAAACAGAGTATGTACCAGTAATTACAACTACAAAACCATTAGGAAAAACAGGTGACTGATCAGACAATATTCTTTTTTTTTCCCATACAAAAATTTATACGTACATTGTTATGTGACTCTAATTGCTCTCCTCATACTGTGACAGCACACTCCTCCTTTCCACCCCTGACTCCCCATATCCATTCAACCAGCTCCTAACCCTGTCTGCCTTCCCATCTCACCTCCGGACAGAAGCTGCCCTTTTAGTCTCTTGTATCTACTTGAGCTAAGAGGCACACTCCTCACGAGTATCACTTTCTGTCCAACAGTCCAGTCCAATCCCTGTCTATAGAGTTGGCCTCGGAAATTATTTTAGTTCTGGGCTGATAGAGAATCCAGGGGCCATGTTTTCCAGGATACCTCCAGTCTCAGTCAGCCCATTAAGTCTGGTCTTCTTATTAGAATTTGAGTTCTGCACCCCACCTTTCTCCTGCTCCATCTGGGACTCTCTGTTGTGTTCCCTGTCAGGGAGGTCATTGATGGTAGGCGGGCACCATCTAGTTCTTCTGGTCTCAAGCTGATGAAGTCTCTGGTTTACGTGCCCTTTCTGTCTCTTGAGCTACTACTTTACATGTGTCTTTGGGGTTCTTCATCCTCCTTTATTCCAGGTGGTTGGGACCAATTGATGCATCTTAGATGGCC